CAGCCTGTGCCCTCACCCACGCGGCCCTCTGACGTTCGTTGCCCGCTTCGCGCCAGCGCGACAGCCTTGGGGACCCCTCACCTTCTGTCCGCAACTTCGGGGCTTGAGTACATATCCCTCCTGATTGCGGCGACACCCCGCCACCGTTCCAACGCAGCAGGAAGAACGTTGAACCCCGGTCTAAAATACCCCCTCCCTTGTGGTTGTCGGTAGCGAATTCTTGTTTGTGATACGATTGTCTGTTCCTATTGCGACTGACGTGCAAAATGAAGAGGATGATGATGATGATGGTGATGATGATGATGGTGATGATGCTGATTATGATGATGATGCTGATGCTGATGCTGGTGATGATGATGGTGGTGGTGATGATGACGATGCTGCTGATGATGATGCTGATGGTGATGATGATGATGGTGATGGTAACGGTTGTGGTGATGATGTTGCTGATGGTGGTGATGATGATAGTGGTGATGATTGTGGTTTCATACGGTGATGTTGATGATGGTGGGGTGATTATGACGCTGATGCTGCTGCTGATGATGATGACGATGCTGCTGATGATGATGATGATGATGCTGATGCTGATGCTGATGATGATGATGATGCTGATGATGATGATGATGCTGATGCTGATGATGATGATGATGATGATGATGAGGATGATGATGATGATGATGATGATGATGATGATGATGATGATACGGTGAAGTTGGAAGCATAGATGCGGACTGGTCGAAGTCGGTTTCCATCTCATGAAGGCCCCCCATTGGGGCCCTCACGCTGCCAGAGGGGGATCGCAACGAGGGCGAACTTGCGTTTGAGCTCGAGACGTTTGGAACTCACATTTGAGTTGAAACCGTCGCGAGCCTTTCAAGTTACAGAATGGACTTCGGCCCATCCCGCCACTATGCCTGGGTTGTGGGTATGAAGCCTACTTGATGTTCGTTGGGAACTCGTGGGAGGCATCTCGGGGGTCTCTTGGAGGCAGGTTGGGCGCCTGTCCGTTTGGGGGCCTCTGTGGGGCCTTTGGCGGCCTCTAGGGGGCCTCCTGGGCGCCCCTTGGGGCCTCCTGGGGGCCTCTTGGGGCGGAGGGCTTGGAATTTCGCTTCGTGCTCCGTCTTTTGGGTCCCTTTCGGGGTCGTCTTGTGGCCCTCTTGGGCAGTTTTCGGCGCCACTTGGGTTGTCGTGGGGCCCTCTTTGCTCGTTTTGGGGCCCTCTTGGAGGCCTCTTGGGCCATCTTGTGGCGGTCCTGGTGACCTCTAAAGCCGTCTGGGAGCGTCGGGATGCCGAAAAGGCGAGAACGCCAAAGTCTTGCAAAAACCTGATGGCAATCAATGAGTTTGGCACCTTGGGGCCTCTTGGGAGGCCTCTTGGATGCATTTGTCTGCTTCTTGGAGCCCTTTTTGGGCGCCTTGGAAGCCTCTTGGGCCGTCCAGGGGCCATTTTGGGTGTCTTGGTGCGATCGTTCGGCGACTCGGGGCCCTCTTGGACCATCGCAGAAGTTTTTGGGGGCCCTCTTGGCCCGTCTTGAGGCTCTCTTGGGCCCGAAGAATGCACGCGACGACACTCGGGGGAGCCCAGGGGTCACGCGCCACGCCACAAGAGATTTGGGCCGAGGGTCTCGGAGCCCTTCAAAGACCCCTCGGGAGTGGGAACGGAGGCTTAGAAGGGTAGTGAGATGACCCGGGGACAGGCCCACTCCGTGCCCGGTGACGCTGTGGCGGGTAACTCAGTGTGAGTTCTAACGTGGAGGGCTCGAGACGGCTGGAACTCCGATGTTGTTCTATCCGCCGCGAGCCTTTTAAGAAATAAGTCGATTTAAGTAAGCTCTAACCGCCGCGAACGAATCAACTTAAAACTCAACTTGAGTTCTAACCGCCGCGAGCCCTTCAAACGAGAACTCAAGTCGAGTTATAGCCGCCACGAGCCCTTCAAGTTGGGACTTGAGTTAGAACTCAATGTGAGTTCTAGACGTCGCGAGTCCTCCAGGTTGGAACCCAATTTGAGCTTTAATTTGGAGGACGTGATGCGGTTCGAACTCACATTTTAGTTGGAACCTCCTCGAACCTCCAAGTCAGAACCCAACGTTGAGTTCGAACTCCCTCTTGATCGTTCAACCTTGAACGATCGGCCGATTCCGAAACGTTAGATCGTTCATCATCGACTGATTCTGGGCCGCCAGCGGCGTTCAATGTTGAACGCAGGCGGTGGAGTCCCCGCTGGTCGGCACTGCGCAGCATTGCCGTACGGTCGGGAGCTTTTGGTTTGGCGCGTCGCGCCGCCGGCTTTGGCCTGCCGCGTTTCGGCGCGGCACGCCGACCACGTGCTCGGTCCCCGCATGCGCGTCCCGAGCCTTGTCCCAACCGCTGGTCCCCGCAGAACGGAGCGACGTGCGATCTGTTCGCAGAGCATCGAATGTGGCCAGGGCCGCCACTGCGACGCGACGGGCAGGAGAGAGAGGAGGAGCAGGAAGGGGAGGCAGAGGACGATGAGGAGGAGGGGAAGGAGGAGAAGGAGTCTTAGAAGGGAGGGGAGAGTAAGAGGAGGAGGAGGACGAGGAGGAAGAGGAGGAGGAGGAGGAGAAGGAGGAGGAGGAGGAGAAGGACGAGGATGACCAGGAGCATGGCCAAGAGAAGTAACCAACAGCACGAGCATGAGTAGGAAGATGGCATTAGGGGGATGGGGACGGGAGGATGGTAATAATTCACCAACATAACCATCATCATCATCATCATCAGCACTATCACCATCAAAATCATCATCATCAGCATCATCAACATCATCATCAGCATCACCATCATCACCATAATCATCCTCATTACCATCACCATCACAATCAGCATCATCAGCAGCAGCATCATCAGAATGAAAACCTTAAAGCAGAATGAGCCGAAGCCCCGCCCGCAAACAAACAAAATTCTTGTATCAGCCCCATGAAGCCCCCGGTCGGCCTGGAGGCGACGTCTGTGAAGGAAGACGTAGCGCGCGACGAAAACGGAGGGGCTGGCCCGAAGCATGAAAAACAATTGCATTGGACTATCCCTGGGGGCCTTTTTTTTCGGACCGACTTCACACGAAACGGACACGGGGGCGCCCCCAGGCGCAAAAAAACAAGCGCGCGGCCCATACCAAATAAAACATATGTTTGTCAGCGGCCCTCGGCGGAAAAAACGGAAAACCCAATCGCACGGCCCAGACCAAATAAAGCAAAGGTTCGGCCGCGGCCGCGGACCCCCCTCCGAGCCGCAGACCAAGAAACGCAACAGAAGCTGGCGCGCAAACAACACAGCGTCTTGGACGGGGGGGCCGAGACGGGCTGCCCAGACCGAAACTCGAAACGCAAGGGCACGGCCCAAGACGAAAAAAATTGGCCCTGGCGTGGCATCGAGGACGCCCCGTTCGAGCCAACACGAAAATAATAGAAAGAGCTGGCCAGTTCCGATTAACACGTTTGTGTCGCCGCGCGGCGCTGCGCGAACATCAATATTACGGCATGTCCATTGTAGGTTCGAAATTGAGGGCCGAAAGGCAATTGCTCCACTCGCGTTCTAGGGCGCGCGCATCGAAGTTGCCGCGGGTGGCTTGAGCCGATTCAGCCGGGCACTAGAGGAGGCAAATTATGATTGCGCGATTGATTCGTGTATGCAACTGGCAACATGGCAACGCCGAATCCGAACGCATACACGTGGATTCCATCCGTCACGTGGCAGCGCAGTAGGGCGGACAGAGCAAATCAGGAGCGGCGTCATGTTGCAATACGTTAGACTTGGTGATACAGCGCGGCAGTGGTTGAACGCGACATCGCCTGAACTAGCATCGCACAGGGGCGCCAGAAGTCAAAGTTCAATTCCACTCGGCACGTGGTAGTGCAAGGGAGCGAGAGGAATCACGAGTATACGCCATACATCACATGGCAACGCAGGGAGCGTGAAAAATACGATTGACCTGCTAAGCGTCGCGTGGCACTTTGGAACAGTTGTCGTGCGATTCAGGTCGCATCGGTCGCCATAACAGCCGATGGGAGCTAGTAGCAGCCGACAGCCGCCGACGCGATCAACTCTTCACTCCTCCCCCTCCTCGTCCTCCTCCTCCTCGTCCTCCTGCTCTCCCACGTTCTCCTAATCCTCCACTGGTCTGGCTGGGGGGGGGGGGGGGATGAGGACTCGAGGGAGTGAAGAGGGGAGTGAAGAGGGGCTGGGAACGGAGGAGGCGCGGGGTGACTTCCACAAGGACGCCGAGCTCGTCCAGTTCGGGGAGGGCTCCGGGAGGGCAGGCACGCAAAGGAAGAGGGGCAGCAGGGGCGGTGGAGGGAGAGAGAGAGAGACTTCGTCGTCGACGTCGTCGCCGTCGTCCTCGTCCTCGTCCTCGCCGTCGTCGTCGTCGTCGTCGTCGTCGTCGCGGGGGGGGGGTATTGTTCTTCACGAGGGCGTCGGTCTGGTTTTATATGCGGGGGTGACCTTCCCGTGGCAGGCATGCCAACGTAAAGCAAAAGGAAAAGTGCTTTGATGAAGGGGGTGTGCGCGATGATGAAAAGTGCCATGTGATCGTTGTCTTATTGTCTTGCCGATTGGCGTGGGCCCTCGCCCCCCCCCCTCCCCCCCCAACGGAGCAGATCTTGGCTGTTTGGGGCGCCTGTCTCAAGCAGGTGGAGCCTCCCCCGTAGGACGCACTGCTGCAAACAGTCGCAGTAAGTAGATGTCCAGGGCCAAACCCCCCCCCCTCCCCCCCTTCGCCCAATGTCGAAACGCCGAATAAGAAAATGTTCACCATGATGAAGGATGTACGTGATGATGATGGGGATGTGATTCCTTATCTGACCAGAGCGGCATCGATCCCCATGACTAATCCACAATTGGAGTTCCACCGGCTTCCAGACCCTGTATTCCTTATCCAGTGGCCCTTTATCCAGTGCCACCACCGTGTTCTTGCCTCCTCCTTCTCTTCTGCCCGCCTCGTGGTCCTGGCCCTCCTCAGCTGCCGTGCCTTCCGATGCGCAGGTCACGGGCTACCACGCGGAGGCCTCCGCAGTGGGCGGCTTCGCGCCGAGCGCCGTCGCGACGGCGACGGGGGGCCCTTCCTCCTTTGCCTCCCCCATCTCTTGTTCGTACTGGGGCGTTCCAGCAAGGGCCTCGCCCTCGAGGGTCGAAGGCGTTGCCACCGCTTCCTCGGCGGAGTGCGGCGGAAGTAGAACGAGGCCGCCTCCACCGACGGAAGGCTTGCGGAAGGCGGCCAAAATAAATGATGCGCCCCCCAGTGATGCGCCCCCAAGAGAGCATGTCGTGGTAGGCCTATATAAAGGAATGCTGGGACGGTCGGCCCCTGCTCAATCCCAAGATCAGGATCCATCAAGAGGTGCACAGTCGAAGCGCACACGCCTCAGGCGTTGGCGGATTGGACAATCGCGTGCGAAAGGTCTCGAGCGCTCGATCATGCCGACGGTTTTGGGTCCAGGGTTGCCGGAGTCCGCCTCCTCCCTGTCACGCCCCCAGACGTGTCGGTAGGGCGGGCCCGGTGTTTCGCCCGCGCATTCTTTTCAAAGTGTAGATTCGTGAAGCTTGACGCTAACAACACCTCCAGGGATCGAGCACAGGTAGTTTTCAAAATGAGGCCGCCGCAGTAGGGCCGCGCGCGCTCGCCTTGAAGGTATGAAGAAGTTGCAAAAGATGGAGCACGGGTGGTTTTCAAAATGGGGCTGTCGCACTAGTGCCGTGCACATTCGTTCTGATAGTTTGCTGGAGGTGAAAGGATGGAGGGCGGTGCCTTCTCAAGATAGGGTTCTCGCTTCAGCCCTCCTTGAGCTGATGACCATCAGTTGCAACACATCCTGTACAGTCGGGCCGGGGTATAAGCTCAAGGTCGGTTCGGGGAGGGTGCCCTGGGGCTCTTCGTGTTAGGTTGTCCTGCGGAGGGCATCCTTGGATGTTCTGCGTGTTGGGTCCGCGGAGGATCTCCTTTTCTTGAGGGGTGTTATTGTGTCCCAGGTCCGACTATGGCAGCCAGAAGGACGCAGGGCGGTCCCCTTTCAAGAAGGAGCTCCTGCCTGAAGCTCGCTCGAGCGCAAGCGAGCGCAACAGTTACAAGAGTGGGGGCGGTCCTACTTGAAAACGGGGACCTTGCTGGACACCTCGTTGAGCTGCACTAGCCAGCCAGTCTGCAGTTGATCGGGAAAATTCGACATGCAGAACTGAGGGATGCCTTTTTGTTCATGGCGCCGTCGGTGGGATCGCAAGAAACGGTGCAGGAAGCATTCTTGGCCCCTCCCTTGGTGCCGATTTTGCGAGGATGCCCCGAGCGGGGGCGACAGTTTTGGATTACGCCCTGGATTCAGTAAGATTCGTTCACATTCATTCGAAACAAGGCAGGTGGCACTCTAGACCCCTCCCCTTGGGCCGAATATGCGAGGATATCCCAAGCGAGGCCACCAGGTTGGGAGTCTGCGCTGGATCCCGCAAGATTCCGCCAGACTCGCCAGAAACACTTCAGGAATCATTCTTGCCCCCTCCCATGAGGTCGGTTTTGCGTGGATGCCCCGAGCGAGAACGTTTGTTTGGGAATGTACGCCGGATCCTGTAAGGCCCGTCAGATTAGCCAGAAACTGTACAGAATTGTTTGTTGACCCCTCCCCATAGACCGAATTTGCGTACATGTCCCGAGCGAGTGCGCCCATTCAGTATTCTGCGCCAGATTCCGCCAGATTCCGTTCGGCCCAGCGTAACAGCAATTATGATTTACTCTGCGCAACAGTTACAACAGTGGGGGCGGTGTTTTTCGATACGGGGAGTTTGTTGGACACGTCGTTATCACACCTCTCTCGCATGTCTGTTTGCGCGGTGTATGGATTATGGAGGCAGTTCTTTTTCAGAGCAGGGCTGGCCTGAATGGCATGCCCAAAACGTGTTGTTTCTTCAAAGAGGCGCTTCTTTGATGTGAGGGGACTTGGGGCTTGGGACGGGAGAGTGTATTGCAGCATCGATGATGAATCCTTGCTCCTCCTCATCATCCTGTTCCTCCTTTTCCCCCTCCTCCTCGTCCACCCCCCGCCCCCCCTCCTCCGCCTCCCCATCCCCCCTACCCCCGCTTCCTCCTATGCACTTCGTCCCCCGCCCCCAGCTCTCCCCAATCCTCCTCTTCCTCCTCCTCCTCCTCCTCCTCGTCCTCCTCCTCTTGCCTCTTGCCTGCCTTGGGGGATGAGTCCATTGATGTACCCCATTAGAGATAGAGAGAAACATCTTGGGCCACCTTCATCAAATTGTTGTCACCTCAGGAACCGGGGGCAACATCTGGGACCCAAGCTTCTGATCATTCAGGTCAAGCCTTAAGATCAGGAGGAAGTTTCCCAGCCATTAAAGCCCTCCCCACCCTCCTCCCATAATCCGTGAGGCCAGGGACGCACGTTCTCCCCAACTTCAACAATTTGCCTCTTGAGGGAATCCCTGAGCCTCCACAGAGCTGGCACCAATACACGCCCCTGTAGGCTTCCAGCTTATAGGAGGGGTGGATGGTGGCAGGCTGGCCTGGGCAGTTCGATCGGAGGAACGCCTCTCGCTCACCTCCGTCTGACTGAAAAAAAGCAGTGCACCGCCAGGGTCCTCGCGCCCTCTGCTCCACGACATGAGACGACTGAGAGAGAAGAAGGGCCAGCTGCGAATCTTTCTCCTGACGCAAAACCGCAAAGGAACTCCTGGCCTCCTCCTGGCGGTTGCCCTTAGACGCCGCTCCGTACAGGGTTGGGGCCTGCTGGATAAGGGACATCGAAACCGCCAAGAGAGAGTCAAGAACTGTGTCCTCCTCCTCCTCCTCCTCCCCCTCCCCCTCCTCCCCCTCCTCCTCCTCCTCCTCGTCCTCCTCCTCCTCCTCGTCCTCCTGTTCCTCCTCCCCCTATCCGATCCTCCACCAATCATCCCCTCATCGGGCTTGAGTGAGATCGGTTGGGTCAGGAGTTGAAGCGAGGTTGGTTGGGGTGGGAGTTGGGACCATCCGTACTAATGCGCACAGCCTTCCCTCCTCGTTGTCGTCTTCATTTCGTCGTCATGGGGCGCCTTTGGATGATTCCGTGCGGAATGCGCAACCACGACTATTCCCCCCGCGAATCCATGCGACGATGAGTTTGCATCCAATCCCGGGGAGGGGGAAGGGGGTGGCGTGGCTCGACCCCTTCCCCAGGGAAGGTTTTTCGCAGCGGATTCATAGCTGATGGCCTCCTCCTCCTCATCCTCCTCATCCTCCTCATCCTCATCCACATCCTCCTCCGCCGCCTCCTCCTCCTCCCCATCCTCGTTTCTGCTCATCCTCCTCTCCCTCCTCCTCCTCATCCGCCTCCTCCTTTGGCTGGGCAACGGCCCAAGGAGGCCGAAACCATTCAAAGATACCATCCATCCGCCAGAATTCGAGGGTTTATCCATAGTCGGAGAGGCGTCGCCAGACGCAGCGCTGTGCCCCGCCCCCTCATCTCTGGACACCCTGCCTCTGGACACCCAAAAAGCTCCAAGCAAAAACATACCCAAATGCTTTGATCCTCCTCCTCCCCCTCCTCCTCCTCCTCTTCCTCCTCCTCCCCTTCCTCGTCGATGTTGTTCCCGATCCTCCTCCTGCTGCTCCTCCTCCTCCTCCTCATCCTTCTCCTCCTCCTCCTCCTCATTTCTCGATCCTTCTCTTCGATCCTCCCACCCCGACGACGAGGCGACGACGACGAAGCGGAAGGAGACGACGACGAGGCGACTGCGGCGGCGGCGGCGACGACGACGAACCCCTTGGCGGGGGAGGCGTCGCCCGCCGCCGCGCCGCGGGGCCCGCCGCTGGGGGCCCAGACGCGCGCTGGGAAGTCGCCGCCGCTCGCGGAGTATGGTGCCGCCCCGCGGCGGCGGGCTTATGCGCCTGGGGGGAGGGGGGAGTGCGCCGCGCGGGTCCACCACATCGTTCCTCCTCCTCCTCCTCCTCGTCCTCGTCCTCGTCCTCGTCCTCGTCCTCGTCCTCGTCCTCCTCCCCCTCCTCCTCCTCCTCCTGTCCCTCCTCCTGCCCCTCCTACTCCTCCTCCTCCTCCTTGCCTCCTCCTCCTC